AATGACTTACCTATGAGGACAGCTCAAACTGGTTACTACACCCAGACGCAACATAGTTTAGAAAGGAAAGCAACTGGCATCCAAAAGTAAATGGAGCATGTTTGTTTATTATTTCTTTTACCGAAGACAGAAAAAACCCAGTGAGATAAACAAGCAGCAAGTTTTAAGAAAGAGGGGGGGGGGGGGGTGTGGTGTGGTGTGTGAAATTGTGGGAAATGTTGCTATAGGATGTTATGGAAGCCAGAACGCAAATGAATTCAAAAAGGGCATCGATAACGACACGTGTAACAGCTGGAAATTGCTGCAGAGGCAGGATTATGAGCGTAAGAACTATTGCACTGCCAACTGACAGTGAGCGGGAAAGTATACCAGGGGAAGCACCGTGCTACGATTCCCCCATTTTATATATTTATTCCCCAAGAATCTACTACTCGTTACTACCAGTCGTAGACTTTTGTACCAAATGGAATTTTGTTCGTTACTACCAGTCGTAGACTTTTGTACCAAATGGAATTTTGTTCTTATCTAGCGAGGCTATTCATACTCTGGAGGCTATGCGTCAACCAAGGAGTAACATAAACTACTTCTGAAATAAATCAGCTTGGCTAAATTGGTTTGTCTACATCTAATACTCTTGAATATACAAAAAAGACCCAAACCAGGTCAAACCCTCCTTCACTATAAAACCATCAATACACAAAAAATTTGGCAACAGATATTATTTCTTAACATTTGCTTTTTTCAGATATTTCAATTTTTTTCTCCAGATAGCTCAATTCTGTAACATCATCACTGCCAGGTCTGAATGAATAAATCTCGATTTAGTAAAAGAAATATTCCTTTTACAATAATCACCATCCAGCACCAGTATGCCTTCTTGCATTGAATTCAACATTTTCTCAGTTTCCAAACCTCAATTTGATATGATAAAGTAAGTATAGCTTCAAGAAATATATACCAACTGTGTCTCAAAAAATACCAATTACCGTGCATGTTCCAATAGATGCAGAGTCATTCAGATCAGGTCTCAGCCGGTCGCTAAAGGAAGCCAGACCGTAGTTTTAAACGCAAAGTCTCTCACATAAGCAGCTGTAAAATACATGCTTCTACATATGGAAAATAGATTTTTTCAGTGCTGCGAAATTTAACAATTTTTTTGCCTTTTTAAGCAGTTTTATTTGGCCATTAAGATTTGCCAAGGGAAACAAAATAGAAGGATTATTAATGGAAGAAAAAATTATCGTTAAAAATTAATTATCGAACATGGATACTGTAGTCAAATTAGCAATCACTGAAACAGAAGGAATTGCATTAACATATGAACACAGCGCCTGATTTCCTGGGCCTAGGCCTTGGGTACCAGGCCTCTGAAGATCAGAGAATCTTTAGTTCCGATATGGCAGAATGCTGCTTACCTTCAGACAACAATAAGCTATCAGCTATGGACCTACAATTTTTTTGATTCATTTTCCAAGATTTGCATCTCCAAAACCTCACAGGTCTTTCCTCAACTTGAACTTCCTACAGTTGGAACTTCTATAATCTAATATCATGAAAAACTTGATAAATGACAAAGATCTTCATAGTCTTCAAAGCCATTATAGCTGTTTAACAGTGTTTCGTACTACTCTAGTTCTGTAAGCAAGGATTTGAATATTTAATATTTGGATAAATAGTGGTAAAATAACCAGATATGTATCTGAATAAAGCAGGTCGGAATACGGCATTTTTATTGTGTGAAAAATTTTAAGATTAATAAAAATACATTTGGTCTCAAATAAGAATAAAAAGCTACAGTTTCAGATACTTTCATAAAGCATTTCTGAGGAAAAAAGCCAATGAAAATTATTAAATTTTGAATTTATTATATTTGAATATTAAATTTCTTTTAACATGAAAACCAGTTCTGTGTGAAAAGTCTTTTGAAATTAAAAATTAAGATTTCTGAAGCAGTTATGATACCTGTTCTACTTGCAATTGCAATGGAGCATACAGTCAGTTGGCATGTACCTCTTGAAGAGCATTAATTAATTAAAGTCTAACTACAAGCTAACTTCTCACTATGGATTTTTTTTCAAAAACGAGTAATTTAATATAAAGCTAGAGATTTCTAATCTTTTGCAGATATAACTTGGCCTCATCTGTTCAGAGGACCACAATGAAAATATGAAGATTTCAGATTAAGGAATAGTATTAAAAATGCTAGGTTAACTAAATAAATTTAGAGCATTTCCTCTAAATCCCATATCCACATAATACTTTTACTTTAAAGACTTCAATAAGAAACTATGTCTTGATCACTCAGACTGTAAGGTTTCTGAGGTGTTCAGAGAATCGCATCAGAATTTCTGTAGTCTCATGAACACAACTTGCTTTTGCAACACGGAAGTCCAAATAAAAGGAGTTTTTCCTTTTAGCTTGCTTGTAAAAGTCAACAAAATTCTGTTTTCAAAGACACAAGATGAAATGGTATTTCAGGATATAGAACATTCTGTATTTTTATCCACTTCTCTCTCACTCAAATAAAAAAGTATATAATTTATTTTTAACTATACCAGCTCAAAGACAACCATCAGGCATATACAGCAACTGATAAATGCACAAAAATATTTTTAATAACCCACTTTTTACTAGAAGCAAAAAACGTCGAAGCACCAAGCATCATATATCATTCATATGCACAGCATAATATGTAGAATTCTGCTAGCGCTCATGCACCGACCACGGGTAACTGATCAACGATGGAATGAGGTACAGTAGGTGTTGTTTAAAAGATCTGTATGTGCACGTGACTTGAAATTCCTTTCTTTTAGTAATTATAGATGTTTTCATTAAAGCTAAACTGATATCTGTTTTTTCTTTTCAAAGAAACAAAACTTCATTTAGCTTTTCCCCCCTTAAAGGGCTCACATTGAGAATCGGTATGTGTGCAGTAGAGAGAGGACAAATTTAGAGTTTCAGTAACGGAGACAGGAAAAACCACCACCACCACCACCGCCCCAGCAACCTTCCAGGTTGCCCAAAGCATGGAAAGCAATGTCAGTTTAAAAAAGAAAATTTCTAAAATAAGATGACCCTTTAGAATTCAGACTACATATGCAGCAGCCTGGCTGCACTAACACGCAGCCGCTAGAATCAAATGTAGGGCGGAAAGAAGATCTTACCAAGGAAAAGGTGCTACGACGTCACCTCAAGAATGAAGCTGGATAAACGTTACCACACAAAGCCATATTAAGGCCTTATATAAAATACTGCATACATTTCTGGCCATTCACCCAAAGAAAATGCTTTCGAACTGGAACAGATTACAAACCCTAGGATAAAGGGAGGGGCAAAGGCAAGCCCATCTGACAACGGCTGGCTTAGTTACTCTGAGAAAAGGTGGAGGGGGGGGGAGTGGAGGGAACCAAGAGATAGCACCACCATTATCTACCTATAAAGAAGAGTAAGCAATAGATGAAATTTAGAAAACTGTTGCTGTTCAAGCTGTTCACAAACTACTTTAAGATCAATTAAGCTAAGCTAAAGATGACAAAATCACCAGCTGAGGATCTCATTCCACTGCTGCTTTTATTATTCATCTTTATAAAAGCATCCTGGGCTACAGTCTGAAAAGCAAAATGGAAATATAGCCGTATCCTAGTGCAATCTTCATCAAGGTTTATCAAAGAAAATTGTAATGCTCAATGAACCGACTGAAAATACTTTGTAACAATTTAAACAGTATTAAATGCTTCAAGTCAACTATCTAATAAATATTTTTCTGTGTTAGTCAACATTATAGAGCAAGTACTAAAATACAGATTATTCAGATTACCCATAGCCCATCACACACTAATTAGCAAATCATAAATTAATTATGCAATAAACAATCACACACCTACTTCCCTCAGTCTTTGGGAAGAAATTTGGTGAATCTTTTCAGTCACTTTGGCAACAAGGATGGCTTAAAACCCATCAGTGCCATTAAAAGGGCTTCAGAGAAGACTCTTGTCTTCTGATTGTTCCGTAACTGTCAGACTCTGCCAAGCTTCAAAAGAATGTCTAGGAATATGTGCTTCTTTAAAAAAAAAAAAAAAAAAAAAAAGGCAAACAAACAAGAAAACCCCTAAAACCCCTCAGATCAGTCACTGTCTATTTTGCCAAAGATGCTGATCCGCCTACATGCTAAATCTGCACATTGCTGATCTTTGTGAATTTATTTTTGTTGTTGCCAAAAGAAATGTTTCAACAGCAGCTGCTTTTCCAAAAGAAGTAGCTCCGAATAAACAAAGAAATCTGTTTGTGAGGTCTACATAGCCCTGGTTTATAAGAAATCCAATTATAAGAAGGTACGAATCCATTAAGTTGGACTCATTTGTAGTCATGTCTCTCTGTAGAAACAGAGCTTCCTAGTGGACAAAGTGAAGAGAGGGCACTTTAGAGCAAGGAGTAATTTTGACTGTAGTAATAAATAACACGGAGGGAGTATTATATTGGAGCGACAAGAGGGGAGTCAGAACACATTAACTTTGGGAGTGTCCCCTCTGTAGAGCACTCTCCAGAACCATGGGATGGCCACCCCTTCCTCCCATGGGAGCACACTGTGACAGCTCGTAAAACCAGGATCTGTGCATGTGAAGGTGCCCTCTTCACTTGACAAAATTAACAGCAACAAACTCGTTATTGCTGCCATCAATGCCCTGCACTCGTGCCAATAAGTTACTGTGAACCATGCAAAATACAACTGAATCACGTAAAATTAAGCATTTGCACATAAAAGTGTTTTGATCGCACAAGCTGACCCAATATCACAGAAAAGGCTATTCCAAAGGTGAATCTCAATGAAAAAAACTCCACAATGAAAATGAAAAAACTCCAAAACAAAAAAAGCTTCACAACTTTTAACTACAGTCAACGTATTCACAGGAAAAAATAGATTACCTTTCTGAAGTATTAACAAATTCAAATTTGGCCATGTGAAAGAAAGGTTGTGTAAATGAGATCTCCATTTCTGTTACCTTTGCAATGGTCTCGTGCAGGCTGAAGGAGGGATCCAGCTCTTCAGTTTTTGTTGTATGTACAGGAAAAAGGGCTTCGGAGAGAAAGCTAGAATCCTGCCAGAAAGAAATAAGAAGCCTTTTAGGATTCCACATTGTCTTCCTCCTTCAAATGCTTATTGGATTTTGTTCAGAGATTGAAAAACTCTTCAAATTGTTCTTAAGTTTTGCCGATTATTAGAACTTATTTCACTGATCTAATTAACTGATTCCAAGTCCCCGAAAGAGGCAAAAACCCCTGAGTCTTATGACTTCATTTCTGGAATGGCAGTTGTCTTTGTAATTACGCTTCCCAAAGCAGCTAAAAATTTTGCCTAGAGGGAGAAAAAAATATCCACACAGATTTCATTCTGAGTTAGGCAGCAATCAGACATTTTATTAAATACGTTATGATTTAGTCTTCAGAAGAAAGGTAAACACAATAATCAAAGATATACTTTTATCTTTTGCAACCATCCTACTTTTGTATACAGTAATTCCATCTACATAATATGGGGTTTTGGTCAATTCCCTAGAATTATATCCTTTAGGGTGACCCCTCTTTTTAACACCAGGCAACCTTAATATGTTATTTGTACAAGATGTTTGCCTCTTCTTGTACTGTAAGAAAGCAAGCAGTTAGGTTGCATATTTGCTGTCGCAAGGAAACAACAAACTGATACCCAGGTGTGGACTGAAAAAAAGCCAAACAATACAAAACAAAACCCCAAGCCTCAAAGCTGCACAGATGCCTAAAGCGGGAATTACTTTAAACCTATGTTCCTCAACCTGGTAAGATAACCCAGAAACTACCCAGAAAAGTCGTCTTCTACATCCCTGTAACTCCTGAGACATATATCCTAAAATTAGCCTTGATTTTGTGGAGCACCTCTACTTTTGCTCTTTAGGCATGAGTAGAACTGTCCCTCTTGGAAAAGCTAGGAAGCTAGTGCCCATCTAAATCCCCATCTGGTATAAAAATAGGTGTAGAGGTGCACCTTGACAGACTGAGATGCTCGATTTGGTAAGCATACTTTGAGTACACGCACTGTTTGCCAACAGCAATGAGTTCAGTACAAAAGCACAGAAACTATGGACAAAGTGATTTCAGAGATCAGCAGGAGGATGTGACAGTGCATGAGTATCATGCTGTTCTAAAACATACTAGCTATGAGCAGGTCTTTTAAACATACTCTTCAAAGTGAACTCTGATGCACAAATAAGCAGAGATGCATCCACTGCATTTACCTACGTCTTGAAGAGGAGCAAAACTTCATCTCAAGCCCTCTGCCAAACTCTGGTTAGCTCTAGGCAACTAAGTTCAGCATCACAATATTTTGTAACTCCTTTCGGAAGGCCCAAATCTTTCCTTGTCCATGAATCTTATTCTGGGTTTTGATTTTCATTTTGGATGCAGGTACCTAAATACATGATTGTGTTTAGTTAGAATATCCTAAGGTCCGCTATTGTATTTCGTACTTAGTGTGCAATGCACCGTGTGTCGCACAGAGTCGCAGACAGGCTTACCAGAGGGATGGACTGGGGACGGCAGAGGGACTGAAGCCTCTCATTAACATGCTTCCTTGGAGCATGTCTTTGCATCCGAGTGCTGGGAAACTAGTCTTGTCCCTTGTTTGACAGCCCTGGCAGAATCTCCAGGGAAGTATCCAGTTTCAGATTAAGTTAGGCTAGTCCTAGAACTAACGTTTTGCACACGTCTTTTAATGCCACTGTTTTTTTCTGGAAAGGGACAGTAATAAGAATATAAGAAAACGTATCCATTAAGAAAGGTTAAGCAGAGGAGTGTGAACCATGAAATGAATATATTTTGCCAGATTCATAATCGTAACATTTTATATATGCTAGTTCTGGAGCTTTACGTAGGACCCAGTAAGAGAGTACCCCAATTTTGAGTGCAATTTTTATGTTCGATGAATTTACATATAATATAGCACTAGCAGCAATAAGAACCTGACAATATCCCTGGCTCGGAAATGCCTAAATCATCATAAGATTATACTACGATTACATCTCTACGAAAATAATTTTGAAAAATGTCTAGACTCTTTTCACATTGAATTTCAAATAAAATTCACAGAAGCCCACGGTCCCATATTTAAGATGAATAATTTTTCTGGTTTAGTTCATTTGCCAGACTGTGAGGCAATATTGACAGTGTTCTGGAAGCATGTCCTTTTCAAATACCAGCTTCCCATATCTACTAGACTAATATTTCTTCAGTTTCCTCCTCTTGATATATACTGATCTTCAACAGCTTCTGTCCTTGTACTCCAAAAAAGACTCATACTCTGTACTCACAAGAAGTGAAGCCCCTGTTTAGGGGCATTAAACCTGGTAATGATGTCCAACGCATTCTGCAACAGCCTTAAAGTCACCTGCATTCAGAGATCACATGCTGAGCAGTGGCCAAAGAAAGCTTTGGTTAAAAAATATTAAAACTGATCTGAGCTTTAACAGGACTGATTTGTAAGGCTGGCACTCCACTACCGTTTCACTTGCTAAAAACACTCGGGAGGGTTTATTGTTTTAAACAACAGGAAGTGAGCAAACGAGAGAGACAAACAATTGAGATGCTTCGTTCTGGCTTGTACAACCTCTTCTTATGTGACTGAGCTTTGCTCTTTTGCATGCTGGGTTCTAAGCCGTACAAAGACTGAAGAAAAACAGTACTTTAGCTAAAAGAGCTGTTCACTTCAATTCAAACAAAAGAAGTTAAAAAGAAGCAGAGAAAAAACCCTACCCCCTTCCTGGAAACAAACAATAGGAAGTATCTTACTCATGTACCCCTGGGGGATAAAACGGTGGTATCTGATATATGCCTGCTGAATCGGAATTACGTTTGCACTATGGAACGCAGTACATCGCATGGATGCAAGAGCCAGTTCTCAGTTGGGCACAGCACTGCCAGCTCTCTTCCCGAACAAGCCTGGGACACAAATGCATTACGGTCGTATCGGTGATGTGATATGCCAATATGCTCTGCTCAAAACTACTCAACTTAGGCGCACTTCCCTACAGATGCTCAATCCACCTCCCGAGCTGGTACATTCACAGCTAAATTAAGCTTCTTTCAACAGTGTGACGTGTCTCATAGACATGTTCAAGAAAACTCAGTGGAAGGTATGTCTCAAAAAGGTATGTTACATTGCTGCTACGTTTGCTTGTTAATTTTTGCTACAAATGAATGCCTCCATGATCAATATTCTATCAGTATTTCCATACATTTCTAGATTATTTCTGGTAGTAAGCTCCCACCACTTTCTCTAAAAAGAAAAAAAGAAAAATTAGCACTGACTCATACAAGTTCTTGTGTTCAGTGATGCATCTGTGTGTTGTATAATTTGTCACAGAAGTATCAGAATAATAAATGAAGTCATTCTTCCTTTCAGAAAGCTATTTTTTTTTTTTTTAGATATCAGGGAGAAGATGCACAAAATCATTTATTATAAAGATAAAATACATACTTCAAGATTAATTCATAACACCTATTCATCTTTTTAAGTTTGCGCACTCGTTTACAGAGCCATATCATTTGACTGGGGGGAGGTTGAGGAACTCTGTCATTCTGCTCCCGTGGTGCTAACGCTGTTCATCATCATTCACATAATTGCAATCAATAACTTAAAAAGAATTACATTATTTATAGTCATTCTTGAGTACCTTACTCAGAGTCAGTGAAGGGAGTGATTACTGAACTGGATTTCCTACACAAGATCAGATTATCGCTCCACCTAGATAAATATTCTTTCTCTGGAACCTAAACCTTGATGGATCAGATGCCTGTAAAGCAGGGAAACATCACTTAAATGGCTTTTATCCCACCCTACTCCAGACACACACCCGCAGAGCACAGGTTAGGATTCCAGTTGTCCTATGCTCATCTCGCACTCAACGGTGAGAGATAGAAACACTGAAAGTATACGTTCATACCCGTTCTCTTAATTTAGGTGCCTTCATGGAGCAGAAGGTCTTGCTCCTCTTACACAACTTAAATGGAAAGAAATGCTTGGTTGTCAGTGTTTGAATGACACGAGTGGGGTGTGACTGAACCCCAAGTCAGAGCTCTGCTGTGCGTCAGTCTTGGTATATTCCTGGAGGCAAACACCTGAAAGGACAAACTATTTTTCTTTAAAACTAGGTTTTATGAGAACTGAATCCAGGACAGCAGCCTTTACAAAAAAGCAAAAGTACAACAAAATAAAAACCACTTTTTAAATAATTTTCGCCTGTTGCTTCTTTGCACAAGGAGGCATTATCTTCAGGTTCTTCCTCAGCCCAGCACCCCTTCGGTGACTTTCCACTTTGCAACAAACTCAGCACAGCCCCTGCTAGGATCCCCAGGAAAAGAGGGGGTTTTTCACTACCCATCTTGTGGTCAGACTACGCATATGCTCCCTGCTCTTCTCATCAGGCCCTTCTGTATTGAAAGGCTTGGAGGTTTTTTTTGATTTTTATTACTGTCCCCCTCTCACACCAGCCCAGTTGCTCTCTCTTTTCTTTGCCACAGCTATGCTCTGGAAAATTCTCCCAGATTAGTATGTTCCTTCTCTGAAAGCCACGGAGCCACCAACCCTCCTTACAGAGGCTTCCAACCTCGTGGAGATCGCAGCAGCTGGGCAAGGTGAACAGGCAGCCTTTGCTACTGCCTCAGCTGCTGCCTTTTAAAGGAACACAACATACATAGGCAACCATCAGCAAATAAATCAAAACACATTTTGTCATCACAAGTGGCAAGTCCTTTTGCCCATGATGGAATCAAGTCCCCGCTTGCTAAGATCTTGAAAAGGAATCATACAGAATCACTGCTTTAAGCAGGCTTGAGTATTTTTGCACGATTAAGCTTTCTGCCCAGAAAACAAAGCCCTTCCCATGGAGTGCACATGAAATAAAACGAATGACTACAATTTTATATATTTGTATATATTTATAGATAACTTTTATTATTCTGTATGCGTGCACAGACAGATAATACTTGCAAATAGTTTACTATCTCAAATAACCAAGATTACTATCTCAAATAACTTGCTGACATCTGAAACATCTTGCTCTGCACTTAG